AGGTGTAAGAATAATAGAGGTGTAAGAATAATAGAGGTGTAAGAATAATAGAGGTGTAAGAATAAGAGTAGGGAATTTTAACTATCAAAATAGACTGGGACTGCAATAGCGTTAAGGGCTTTGAGGAGGAATTTGTCACGTATGTTCAAGAAAACTCTCAATCATTATGTAGACTGCCCTACTAGGGAAGGAGTAAAACTCTACCTCCTCTTGGGAAATAAGGCAGGGTTAGTGACTGAGGTGTTAGTGGGGAGAACTTTTGGGACCAGTGACCATAATTCTTTTAGTTTTAAAATCATTATGGAAAAGGATAGGCCTGGTCCAAAAGTTAAAGTATTAAGTTGGGGCAAGGCCAATTTTGATGGCATTAGACAGGAATTTTTAGAAGTTGATTGGGAGCAGCTATTTGCAGGTAAAGGGGCATCTGGCAAATGGGAGGCTTTCAAAAGTGGGATAATAAGAGGTCAGGGACAGCATGTACCTGTTAGTGTAAAGGACAAGGCTGGCAGGAGTAGGGAAACACGGGAAGACTAGAGAAATGGAGGTGCTGTAAAAGAAGGAGGCATATGTCAGGTGTAGACAGCTGGAATCAAGTGAATCCCTTGACAAGTGTAGTGGGTCCAAAGTTTTTGAGAAGAGTATAGCGGGTGTAGGAGTACACTTAAGAGAGAAATCAGGAGGGCAAAAAGTGTACAAGATAGCTTTTGCAGATAGGAGAATCCAAAGAGATTCTCCAAGAATATTAAGTTCAACAGAGTAACTAGGGAGAGAATAGGGGTCATTAAAGATCAACGCGTGGAGTCAGATGAGATGGATGAGATCCTGAACGAATATTTCATGTCAGTATTTACTGTGGAGAAAGACATGGAAGTTAGAGAGCTCAGGGTAATAAACAGTGATTTCAGAAGCGGTGGTGCTGGAGGCGTTAAAATGCATAAACGTAGATAAATTCCTGGGACCTGATCAAGTATATCTGAGGGCAGTATGGGAAGTTAGGGAAGAAATTGCAAGGCTCCTAGCAGGGATATCTGTATTATCGACAGCCACAGGTGACATGTGTAAGATTGGAGGGTGGTTAATATTGTCCCATTATTTAAGAAATGCTGAAAGGAAAAGCCAGGGAATTACAGACCGGACACCTAATGTCAGTGGTGGGCAACTTGTTGGAGGTGATTCTGACAGACAGGATCTGCATACATTTAGAAAGGCAAAGGCTAATTAGGGATAGTCAGTATTGCTTTGTGCGTGGGAAATTCGTGTCTCACAAACTTGATTGAGGGGCATAGATAAGGTGAATAGCCAATGTCTTTTTCCCCAGGGTAGGTGAGTCCGAAACTAGAGGGCATAGGTTTAAGGTGAGAGGGGAAAAGATGTAAAACGGACCTGAGTTGTAACTTTTTCCACACAGAGGGTGGTGTATGTATTGAATGATCTATCAGAGGAAGTGATAGAGACGGGTACAATTAAAATATTTAAAAATCATTTGGCCAGGCACATTGATAGGAAAGGTTTAAGGAGATATGGGTCAAATGCAGGCAAATGGGACTACTTCAGTTTAGGCAATGTGGTCAGCATGGGTGAGTTGGGCCAAAGGGCCTGTTTCCGTGCTGCACACCTCTGTGACTCTATAACAGTATAAATTTGGCCATTAGAGAGGATATGAGAAATCTATAATTTTCACAGAAGAATCATGGCCTCAGATTTTGTGTTTCCTTTAATTATCTTCAATACCAATATTTAGGAAACACTAACAGAACTTTAAGACTTTTTTCATTGCTCCTCCAGCAGACTGTGAACCATGCTTATCACCAACAGCAAAAGTGATTTAATCACACAAGAATATTGCATCCGGAGCAAAAAAATGTCTCAGGCCTACTGAATCCAGTTTCCCAATATTGTTATTCCATCCTCTTTTTTTAAAAAATCTCACCACTTCTTTATGAAACATTAAAACTTTTCCCTCTATCTCCCCAAAATAGTGAAAAATTAATATGTCTATAGATATTAATTCAGTTAATATTAAAAGACGTAAATTGGCTTTCAATCAGCAACTTGCTCTGACAACATTACGACTTTATATGGCAGTTATACTTTAAGAGGAGGTAGAATGTTCTGAATGGTGGATAGTATGATCATAGCAATATTATCAGCAGACATACCTATGTAATTTGGTTGTCGTGGGGAAAGAGGTTTAGGTCAAAACCTACAGAAAATAAAGTGATAAGTTTTGACACCCTGACACAACAAGAACAGGGCAGCTGGCCTTTCTGGACAAAGGCTCAGAGATGCAGAGTGGAAGTCAGAAATAGTTGCTGCTTTGCATTATCCACTAAGCAGGATGAGGAGGAGTAGGAAGATGGATTTTCTGACTTTAAAGAGATGGGGCTTGCAAAGTTTTAATAATTAAGCAACCATCCGAGTGAGTCTTGTTGCAGGAAGTTAGCTTAGGGACACTCAGAAGACCAAGTTAAGTGACAGGGAGAAGGGAGTCTGGTGAAAAGCTATGTATCACTTCACCTGATGAAGGAGCTGCACTTTGAAAGCTTGTGATTTCAAATAAACTTGATGGACCTTACGTTGGTGTCATGTTACTTCTGACTTGGTGAAAAGCTGGAAGGGGTTTGAACCAAAATGTACAAGGCTACATACTTGCTGAGAGCACAGTGTAACATAGAAATGGGTCATAATGTATTTTCAGTTGTTTTAATTAAATAGGAAGTACTTTTTTTGTAATTTGGTATATTAGTTACCTATTGAGTAATATTTTGAATCTATATTTAGTTCTTTTCAGCCACTAACAGTCCCCATTAACAGTAATTCAACCTCCTAGCCAGATCATTATCCACTCCTTTGTCTGTCTAACTGCTCTTCTTTTGGGCTCTATCTCCACCTATTGTTTACTCCCATTTCTCCCTTCCGCCACCCTATCTTCTGCATATAAACCGACATTTTCCTAGCTACCGTCAGTTCTGAGGAAGGGTCACTCGGCCTGAAACATTAACTCCGATTTCTCTCCACAGATGCTGCCAGACCTGCTGAGCTTTTCCAGCAATTTCTATTTTTGTCTTTGATTTATAGCATCCACAGTCCTTTCGGTTTTTATTTAGGTCTTTAGAGTTAAGTCTTAAAATATGAAATGTTATCTTGTGATTCTTTCCATTGATTGCTGTGAAATTCATATCTCTTTTTGAAGTTATTGTTTTCTATAGAGTTTATAATAATCTTCTACACATCAAATATCCTGTGGGTACTTATTGTTCAATCTCTCTTCTATTCTCAAGGCTCTCTTGCTTATTTGCTTGTATCTTGTTTCCCATTAGTACTTTCACTGGAAATTGCTCCATCAACCATTTCTTTTACAAACTAGTCACAAAGACAAGGAATAACTCAAGGTATTCTTTGTTGGGCTCTTTTTAATTCAGCTTGGTCTAAATTTTCTTAATAAAATTCATTAAATTTATCTCTGCCTTGTATAGCCCCAACTGGCTAAGATCTGGAACTGGTATGCTACATCAATTTGGTCACTGTAAAGAAACTGTTAAATTCTTTGTTACAATTCAATTTGCTGAAGATAAATGGATAAAAATCTACTGTAGTAAGATAAAAGCATAAACAATGCTACATCACAGATCAATCATGTAGCACAGTCTAATTGTCGTCAATACCTAAACTCAGATTAGCAGAATCAAACTTCAGGTGCTATCCTATTAAGTTTTGCCTGTAACTCACTACAGTTATACAGAGATCACTAAAATAATTTTAAAACAATTTCCACCAATACATTCCAAGATCTTCCTGATGGATGGATCAGTTGAAGTAAAAAATACAATT